TTTTTTATGAGGTTTTGGGGTTGGGTTTGTTTTAAGAAATAGATTGTAGTTTTATAATTTATAAGAAGTTAAAAGTCTCTTTGTTATGTTGTAAATGGGCTTTGAGTGTGTTTCTAAAGTCCATTTCATATGGGAGCATTTTTGCTCACTACTTTAACCCAAATTGTATCCTCACCACCCTTCTCAACATTTGACATGTGTCTATTGGCATAACCATAGTTGCATAAATACAAAGTAAAGAGTTAACTATAGTTATACCAAGGGACACGTGTCAAGTGTTGAGAAAAGTGGTGAGGGTACATATTGGGTTAAAGTGGTGAGCAAAAATACATCACATTTCATATAGAGTATTTTTATAATTTGAGCCCCTATATTGGTTATAATAGTAAATCTCCTTTAAAAAAAAAATAGAAATATAAGGTGAAAAGGAAGAGTTAAAAAAATAATAAGTAAAAGTGAAAAAGCAATGTCGGCAACTAGAAACTAGGGCAACCAACACGTACGCAAGTCCACGCAACTCAGTCGGCAACTAGAACTAGGGCAATTCACAGTCTAACGAAATCCTTATGTATGAAACAACTTGTTTCAAGGATCATACCAATTAACTTCCCTAATTAATTCTAAGGTTGAAGATGAGTATTAATTCATAAACCTGTCGATGAGGAGGTGCATGTATATGATATCCACAACACTCTTATAACCATATGCATATTCGATATTACATAAATTTAGTTCTTCTTCTATGCGGACGTCTATAACATGCAGAAGGGTAATAAAAAATACATGACATTTGCACGGTAATAACATGCGGACGTCTTCATAAGAGAAAATCTGTATACATATATGCACATTATATAATGTAATGTTTAATCATCAAAAAGTTAATTAGACTGAATATATAAGATCAGATCTCAGTTTATAATTAAATATCGTAATTAAACGGTGGACTACCTACATGATTGTGCATGAATAATTGGGATGTTTAAATAATTTAAATTATATACACAACAATAGGGATTAAGAGTCTCATGGTGCTCAGATCAGTTACATGCAAAGCTTAAATGTCATAGACCAGACCACACTCATCTCCTCCGATATAAATATATATATATATATATATATATATGTATTTTTTTCAACTTAGTCATCAATAATCAAAGGATTAGTGCAGGGGCATACCTATAATGGCCAGAGTAACTCGTGATGATCGTTGATCAGGCAATTGACACATAAAGCTCCCAGGATAATTGATGCAAATGCCGGAACTGCAGCTGCTACCCGCATATGCATGCATGCATATATATATATGGCGACGTTGACCGAGCTTGAATAAGGTCAATGCTACACAACAAATAATATTTAGGTAATAATTAGGTTCCATTTACAAAACCCTCATCATATAGAATAGAATTTTGTATAAGTTTCTTCTTTTAAGCTTGTTTTCTTTACCTTTTTAAAAAGTTTTTGGCTCATCCCAAATGTTCCCGGTGTGTGTATATATATATATATTGATGCGCATATTTTCTACCCCATATTATAACTCACTTGACGTATATATATTCTTAATTAGTGCGCCACCTCTTTTTTTTTTCTTTTTTTTTTCATTGCAAAAAAGTATTTCAAGAAATGAAATTTGGGCTACGATGCTGAAATAACATAGAAGGCTTCCAAGAATATAAGAACATATATATATATATACATAATGCAGAAATTAATCAAATACCACAGCAGAGGTTGAATAAGAAAAATATATAATAAAGCATTATGGCTTTAGCTAGAGCTGGCTTTGTTTTGGTTGAATGAATGAAAGAGGAGAGGAGTCCTATCAAACAAAAAAACAAAAAAAAAAGAATGAAAGAGGAGAGGAGACAGCTGAATAATAGATGTGGTGTGGAAGGATAATAATTAAAGTACGGGGCATGTAAATTGTAATGATCAAGGATAAGATATATAGTAAACTAGGTAGCACTAGATCCCAAGCGTAGCTGATAAGTTTGTAGCCAATGACAAGTACATGATAGATGTTGATAGTGGTGGTGCATAGATAGATACAGTTCTATTTTCACATCAAAAAGCAAAGACATATTTATATATAGTCAAAATCTGGTCACATAGATTAAGAACCACTCATGTATATACTTGACGCTTTTGCTTTTCTTTTTTTGCCATCTCCTGGCAGTCCAACCATAGATTCCAGATTTTAAAAGCTAAATTCTTTCATTCATGCGCCTAAAGTAATGTTTCAATATTCCAGATCAACTTGCTATGTTTCTTAGGCTAGCAGCTAGCTTCATCATCATTTCATTTCTTTCTTTTTTCTAGCTTCATCATCATTTCATGACTTAGGGTTTTGCTTTCCATATTTCTAGTAATGTGTGCAACCTACTTAGCAAAGGTTATTGTATAATCTCACTTCATTGATTCGATTCGATTCGATTCAATTAAATAATTCATGTGAATGGGTGTATAATTACCGTTTTACCCATCTCATCGATTACGCATCCCAGGAGGTACAATGTCCCCAAGAAGCCCTTCATCTGTAGGAACTGCACTTGTCTGTGGATCAAGGCTGTGGGATGATCCTCCTCCTGCAGCTTGATCATCATCATCATCATCATCACCACGTGGGGATGCTAATTGGTGCGAAGTCGTTCGTGTCAAGTTAACAGGACTAACTCGTTCTCTGGGTTGAATTGCAGGATAATACATGAAGTGTGAGCTGACTGGAGGCAGCTGCGCCAACTGGTGGCCTGCAAAGCCAGATTCTGGAGCAATCACTCCGCCCCGGGGGAATGCAACGGTATGATGGCAGTGTTGGCCTTCGTACGTGGTAATTACAATCGTGGGATCTTCAGAGGAACGTTCAACCCTTTTCTTCACTGTGCATTTGCTATTTGTGCAGCGATAGTAGCTCCTGCAAAACACACGCTTCACTTGAGAGCGTAACAAATAAATTTAACGGTTCGGATTATGAAATGTAATTTCGTAAAATCATTGGAGGACAATGTTATTCTCACTCTCATTTTGTCTCAATTTATCATATTCAATATACATATGCGATCCCTGTGTTTTCAAACCAACAAATTGCCTTGAAACCTACAGAATTACTTGAAATGAATTCAATACTGAAACAAAATAATGTAAAGTTGGTCTCCAGATAAGTTAATTCAAAAGTTGCAGACCTTGGAAAGGGACTGTTTTTGACAGCTTTCTGTCCATATTTCCTCCAGCGGTACCCATCCTCAAGATGATCAACTTCACTCTTAGTCATAAATGCAAATCGTGGCTGCCGGATTCTCTTCTGCCCCTTCTTTTTAACCTTACTCCTACAAAATATTTTACCTACAATTATCACAATAAAAACAATATCTTGAAAATCCAAAAGGAAAAAGCAAAACTTAGTGAATGAATTCATGTCCTATATATATATATATATTTCAAAACAAACAGGAATGCTAAAGTTACTTATAATAAGTCATGTTTTGTAATGCTATTAAAAAATTTATCAGTTCTAACAACAAATAAATTACAATCCATGCATTATATGAATTTTACATAGAAATCTAAAGTGAATGTGCATTGTAATTCTTGTTCATTAGAGTTTTTCGAAACGAAACCGTAAATGATTTTGCTTATGTTATAGCTCTTACTTCACATGAGGAGGCATGCAGAGTATAGAACCATGCAGTGCAGGCTCTCTATGATCATCAAAATGATATGGTACATGTAATTATAAGCCACCATTATTAGGAAGAACTTTAACAATAAAATGGACCACAAATAAAGAAGAATCCCATCCAAGAATATTATGATAAAATCACACCACTAAGCATTGTATTATAGCATGCAACTTGGAGACAAATATGTCGCATGCATTCATCACATTATGACGCAAATGCTAGGACACTACAGCAAGAACAAAGATTAAAATAAATAATAAATAATAAAACTAAAAATTAACAAAGAGCGACCCCTAATTATTTAAAAGACTGATTAATTAGTATATTCGTTCTAAACATTTTAGTAATTTGCGAGAACAAATATTATAAAAATAAAAATAAAAAAGACACAGAATTATTTTACCCAAAAGCGTGAAAAGTTATGGCACGCCATTACCGCCGTAATAACGGCGGTGTTCGAGTGCACGAAAACTGCAGCCCTTTAATTTCGCTCAATTCCCTTCTCGTGTTGAAAATTACGAAAATGCCACCCCAACTTGCATGAATGAAGCGAACTTTACTATACTTATTATTATGCTGTTAGTAATATTCTGTTGTGTTTTCTGTTTTCTGTGTGCGCGGAATTTTCTACTTTCTAGACTGTACGGACGCAGATTTTTGCAGATTGCACCCAAACACTCTCACTGTCTCTCTTTTTCATTTTGGAATTCAATTATTGATTGGTTTTGTAAAGAGATACCTGGCACAGCTTAGCCCACAGAAAAACAAGTTAATTACGCATTTAAACCATTAATCATTGAAACCCACTCACGGTATCTCAGGTGGTGGTTTGCCGCCGGACCCCGTTGATTTCTCCGGCGGATCCTCGCTGGAGGTCGACGAAACGGACGGGTTCGTCGAAGCGGATCCGACGACGGGGGCCGGGTCGGAGCTCCGAAACGCCGCGGTGCTGCTGCTGCTGCTGTCGGCGGGTCGCAAGCAGTCCGCAACAAGCTGGCTACTAGTTGCCGTCAAATCGGACATGTCGCGGGTTCCGATCGGGTCAAGTTCCGAAAAGCCGTCGGGTCTGGAGCCGTCCGGGTGGAAGTTCCAGCCGAATTCAGTGAGGAGTGTGTTGTCTCTGACGTCGTGGCTGGAGAAGAAGTAGGCGCTGTCCGAGTCGAGTGGCCAGGTGGACTGAGTCGTGAACTCGGTCTTGCTAACTGGATCGCGGTTGTCTTTGTCGTCGTCCATGAGAATCGACCAGGATCGGTTGAGATTGTAATCGGCTGTGAAAATTGAGCATGAATCTGAAGAGAGATGCCAGAGAGAGCGAGATTAGGGTTTTGGGGTGTTTGGTTGTGCGTGTGAGTGTGAGTGTTGGAAAGGACGCGTAGTTTTTGAACTTTTTGAAGGGTGGGGAGGGGCTTGAAAGCTTTAGTCTCATCAATGTACAGTTGCAAATTGCAATTCAATTTTCCTACAGAAGAGAGAGAGAGAGAGAGAGAGAGAGAGAGAGAGAGAAGTGGAAATTGAAAAAAGGAATCAAATTAATAAGAAGAGAAAGAAAGAAAGAGAGGGGAATAGAAAAAAGATAAGTTAGAAAAATCGCCGTCAACCTCTCAGTATAGTACGGGAGGCTCATATTTAAGCAAACAGGACAGCCCCGGCCAAAATGGCCCCCACACGCTTCAATATATATTTTTAGTCCAGTAAATATTTATTATTATTTGTATTATATATATATATATATGCCACTTGGTTATGTGGGATGCCTAATATTGCATGGGTCGGATGTATGGTGACTTGATGATATTGATGAGTTTGTGAATCTCATACCTTATGTGTATATGTGGTGAAACGCGTACAAATTATCATTCTGGTGTGGATCATTAGCAATGCTAGCTAGTCTCGTATGTGATAATAATACTATTAGGGTTTGTTTGGTACGTCGGATTGTACTAACTAATTTCTTTCGGATAGTGTTAATATGTTTCGGAGAGTACTGACTATTTATCCATAATATTATAAGGCGTTTGGTGTTGTTATGGATAAATAATCTGACTAAACTATACTGTGTTTGGTGTTGTTCCGAATAACATCGACTCAAACAATTTTTTTACAAAATATTCTTTGATAATTTAAGTGGAAATTGAAGTTCAAATGACACGAATTTATTTTTATCTAAACCGGGGTGTTTGGTGTATTATCTAAACCGGGGTGTGTGGGTTGTATTAGTTAGTCGGGTAAGGAGAGTATTAAAAGCCCAACTCGTTTAAAATAGTAAGGTAATTAAATAATACAAGTTGACACCAGACACCTGACATGGACTATTTACTCCTATTTAGAGTCTAATATGGTGTACCAAATGATTCCTAAGGTTAAGTTAAGTTCTTTATGAACTTTACATCCAAATTTTGTATATTTTTGCCCATTGCGCATCATGTTCATGCTTGAAAGAATTATTCATCTTACAAATGATATACACATTGGTCCGAATTGGGAAGAGTTTGATTTGGTCTAAGATTGATAAGGAACTTAACCAAAAGAGTATTATGAAGTTTGATTCATTTGAATGGAAATTTTGAAGACATATATCTTCAATGGTGATAGTGAAGACATATATGGATGTATGATTGAACTCGACCGGACGCCACTTTTAATTATGTACATAAATAGTTTATATTGTACGACTATTACAATGATGCCCATGCTTGTGCTTACCCAATTCCCCTATTCTCAATTTATTTCATGCCTTTTTCTACACCCATGAAACATCATCTTCCACGACTGAACAACACCAATAATTGAAATCATGTTTACACGACTAACATTACAAAAACTCCATAGTCGTATCATCAACTTTTAATTTGTTTTCTTTACCAATTTAACGGGAAATTAGAGTTGCATGTGTGTAAAAGTGCCTTTTTTTTAAAAAACCTCATGATAAATGTTTGTGTGAGACGTTTCTAGAGCTTAAAGTGATTATTGATTGATCTAGAATCACTCCCAAACGAGCCTTTAAAAAAATCAGCTTAAAGTTTTACCATAATTAATATACGAGTATAGCGCTTGCGATTTCCATAAACTATTTTTGAAATAAAGTTAATTCCCTTTTATACACCTTTGTTTGTCTTTCTTCTTCATTACCGATAAAAACAAATATTCATCTCCAATTATTCAATTTCCTTTCGAATATAGAAAGAGTGGAGACCTGCCCCACCCGAATTTTTATGGGTTTCACTAGTTTGGAAGCCATGGGCTACGTTGAAATATCTGGTCCAAAAAAAAAAAAAAACCATGGTCCATATCAAAAACATCTGACGTGGAAGATTTATGTCCTCCCATACCAAACACAATAATCATTCTATTATCTCTTAATAAAGTTATAAATCTTTATTTATGGACCAAATTATTACTCAAATTAAAATACCTTTCCCCATTACTTAATTAATCCAAAGACTGATATCCGAATCTCTTAGTTTATTCACACACAAAATTTTTAAAAAAAAAACTACTTGAGCCACAAGCAAGCACGTCAATTTCAACCCCACTTCCCAAATTACATGTTCATTGTCAAAGAGCTGGGATCGCCTGCTTCACGTTCCAGCGTTGCACCTCTTTTGAAGCATCGACAAGGCCAGGGCCCACATGCGTGTGTGAGATACCGTATGAACGCACGTGTACTCTTAGAAGGAAGAAGGTAGGGACGGGGGCCCCACAGTGTCATCTCACAAGATTTTATGTAGATAATAAATTAGGTAACGTGGGGTAATGGGATCGGTCGATGGTTACAATAACAAACATGAAAGCTTTGAAATCTTTTGAATCGTCCACTTGCGGGATTGTGGAACCCTTAATTGACTGGTTTGGTGGATCCCCAGATATATACAGTAATATTATCCTCTACCCTAAAAATATTAGGGGTCCCTTAACCCTGTGGGACTCACTGCTTTGAACAAATCTTGACCTACGTACATCAACCTAAATTTTCAGACAGATCGGACCATAATAAGTGGATTTCAATTTCAATCCAAAAGGTTTCGATCCATTTTTAGTATTTTCGAAATCTTCACATTCCAATTTCAATTCTTTTTTTTCTTCTTAGAATTTTCAGATTTCAGAACTTTTGGATGTCCTAATTTAGAAATTCTCGGATCGGAAACTTGCACCCTTACTTACAGCTCAAGTCCCATAAGTAAAAATTATTGAATGTACTAAGTTGAATTAGTAATTAGTAATCAGATGTGGAATTTAGCTTGAAAGCAAAGCACCTTAAATTATTTGGAAATTGTGAGAGAATCCGGTGGGAGAAAAACTTCTCTACCCGTTTTATTGTCTCTTTCTTCCTATCTCCTTCTTCATATTACTTATTTAAAAAGGAGAGAGATAAAAGGATGGGACAATACAATGAGAGTGGGGAAGTGGGGAAGTATTTCTTTGAGAGGTCAAACATCCAAAATTTGTAATGTCATCAATCGAGTGGTTGTGGTTTCCTCCTCAGCATACAGTGCAGACCAGTGAGGGGACCCTCACCATTCCCTGTTTTGCCTCCACCGGTTCTATGATTTGATTATTAATTTATTATAATTCTCAGAACAATTATTACCTTGTTAAAAATTATAATCATGCATTATGTATAATTAAAAACAAATTGCAAATATTTGCTTAGTTGGTGGTGTGTCGATAGGCTATAGGCTATAGGCTATAGGTTAGGAAATTAGGATGGGGTCCGAGCTACCATATCCGCGGCACAACTGGTGGAGTTGGGTCGCTCTTTACCCACCTAGTTAGCTTAGCTAGGCATACGATTTTATTTATAAATAGTTAAATATAGATATAAATCCTTCTTGCTAAAACGGACAAGAAATAAAAAGCAAGTTGGACCATTTGAAATTTCAAAATCACTTTCAAGAATGTGATTTCAATCTTAATCTGATTTTAATCTTTTATATTGCTGGATTTTTAGGAGGCTTGATAGTATAATGACGCAAAAATAGCATAAATTGTTTATCATATATCGTTGTCCTTGTGCCATCACCAAAGAAAATTCATCTTTTACGCACTGAATTGAACAATACGTATTAATTGCACTAATGTTATTTTCCACATTTCTTTAAATTGATTTGAACTCTAAATTCTTAATCTTGAATTGATGTTTGTCGGTACATAAACAGAAGGCACGGACTCAGGATTGAAAAATAACTATGGGTAACTTTTAGGCCAATTTTTCCGATCAGAAAGTTTCTATTGAAATTTCAAAAAAGTCTACTTTGTTTTGGGTTATATATATATATAGAGGTATGAGAGAATTTCAGAAAATTTGGATCGGATTTTGGACCTACCTAGACAGACATAATTTTTCTTAAACTTTAAAATTTGATATAGAAAGGAGCTGCAAATATGCCTTAAACCCACGATTATGAGGCATGACACAGAAAATTACTAAGTAGATCGCAGGTGTTCTAGATTTGTTTTTGTTGGATTGTAGTAGCTGTTGTAGATGAATGCGTGTGCACTGTGCCGCATTATCTTGCACCTAAAAGAAAGAAAAGAAACGAAAGTGACTGGCAAAAAGCCTAAAACATGGATCCTAGCTTCAATTGAAACTCCAGAATCACGTCGTTGGATAAAGTAACATCACATTCACAAGTCACCAAACCACCCCCACCACCAGCCATATACATTCATGAAATATAATTGTTTAAAGAAAACGTGAAGGAGCAAAAAAGCATTTGGAAATTATAATCGAGTGAAAGTTGAAAACAAACAAGATACCGCGTTCCTTGGATTAATTTTTTTTTTAATCTCCTCCTTTATCTGGGTCATTGTCATGAGTCATTAATCTGCTGCATGCATGTGATGTCGTATATAAATGATATGATATATGTATTGTACAGTTCCCAGAGTCTAATCTTCTTATTATATAAGGTGCCTATCAAAACGTTATGGATTAATGTATGCTTATCATGAATCTGCGTCCCATCAATCTGCGTCCCATATCCCTACTGCAATAATTAATTATTTTTATTAATGGAGGGTGGGTTAACACCGGAGGGGAGAAAAGAAGTTTGATGATTTGCAAATCATTGGTCTCAGGTTCAAACTCCCGTTACACATTCTTTGACAAAACAAAAAATATATATATATAACGCAAACTATCTAGGCTGCTCAGGCCGTACCAAACACTTGCGGTTCATGTTGGTCATCATTGATCAGCAGCGCCAATGGTGATTTGAGATTAGATATCCTTTTCATCCCACTCGCATTTTATTAATGAACCGAATTAGCTGCTCAAGATTTGGGAGTATTGCGAGGGGACCATTTGTTTTTATCTACTTTTGGTTTACCGTCGCTCTCAAGAAATATATTGACAAGTATTCCTAGTGTAAATTTGATGCTAAATTCTCTTCTAATCAGAAAGAAAAAAAAAAAAAAGATGTAATCTACAATCGGCCGACACCGAGAAATTAGGGTTACAGCAAGTAAAGATTAGATAGAGTGCTCAATTATATAAGCAAAAGTGGG